AATTCTCCTGTATTCCAGACTCTATTGCAAAGGATATATATCGAAGATCCTTTCTCTTTTGTGGATTTTCCTTGTATTCCTTTAAATTCTATTTATTGGTATCACCCCCTCCCCCCTCTCTCGATTTCGTTTGATTTGAAATCAAATTGAGGACGAAAAAAAATTATCTGGATTCTGAAGTTATAGAGATTCAAGAAGAAATGGAGAAAGCGAAAGCCGGTGTCCGAATCGGGGGGGAGATACTAGGTTTTGACGCCGGCGTTATATACAGGTTTATGTGTTCCTTCCATATTCCCCCACGCGTCACGTTGGAGGCATTTCCGGTTTCTTCTACCCGCCAAATGTAGTTTTTAGAGCCTAAAAAGCTCGCGCGTGGGTTGTGGAATGGACCGATTATGGGCTTCTTGAGACAAGCCCATGATAATCCAGACCTTCGCAAGAGTACGTTTTTTTTTTCGGCCTTCGGGCCTTTCCACATTTCAAATTTCATCCTTCCAAAATTAGCTTCGGATTTTTTAAAAAATTAAATGTTTTTTTCCTGGCATTATAAAAATTTTTGAGAGAAAATTTACCCAGTGAAAGGGAGAAGAAGAGAAATTTTTTGTCTAATTAAATGATTGGATAAAATTTTCTAATTTCCTTATGTTTCTTTTAAGGACTGTGATACATTTACTCTCTCCATTTACATCTTCTGTCACACACCTTTACTTTCTGTTATTTAATCCATTATCTCTAGACGTTGTTTCTTACTCTTCTTGTTTTCCTTTCTCCCTATCTATGTTTTCCTCTTACTCTCCCTACTTTCCTTTCTCCCTCTTATTGTCCTGATTGACTTGGGTTTGAAATGTTGGAGGCAAGTTTCCAATTTTTTATGGTTAAATACCCTTTTTGGTCCCTTTACTATAGGAAAAAGCCCCTTTTTAGTCCTTACTGTTCACAAATCCGGCCCATTTTTAGTCATTCCGTTAAATTTTAGCTGATGTGGCAGGTTAATTAACGGAAAATTTTATTTTTTTCTTTACTTTAATTACGTGGAAAATCCATCC